CTGCTGGGTTCCAGCAATCCTTCCACCTCAGCCTTCCAAGTAGCTGGAACTACAGGCACGTGCTACCACGCCCAGCTACTGTTTTTTATTATTTATTGTAGAGATGAGGTCTCGCCAAGTTGCCCAGGTGGGTCTTGAACCTGTGGGCTCAGCAATCCACTCACTTCAGCCTCCCAAAGGCATGGGATTACAGGCTGAGCCACTGAGCTCAGCTTAGCATGCTTCTTATATAGGACAAAACTAGGGCAAAACTGTACAAGGGACTATTGTAAAAACAAGCAGCATCGGCATCTGGGCCAGGTATCCGGGCCAGGTGTGATTGACATCATGTCGCTTTGCTTTATTATAAAGTAGCAAATCAAGGTCAGGGGAGATCAGTGAACCACAGTGGAATTATGTTGTTACTAGAAGGCGAGCTGTTCTGTGTTTATCTTTTTGTACCTGGGGCTTTATTGTAGCCAAGACTTTATCTGTACTATGTATACCTGGATGTGTGGGCATTCAAGACACTTTCATGTAGCAGGCTGCATTCCCAAGGCAGGAGGCTGTCCTTTGCCCTACCATGCTGGGACTGCTTCCTGTGGCTCCCATGCCAGGAAGTGGTGGTAGACTGGATGATGGATTGCCTTGGGACCTCCTGGATTCTGCTAGCGGTGGTGCAGAGATGGTGAGGAAGGGTACCCTCTGTGGGTCACAGCTACCCACGGCAATGGGGAGGGCCCTAGAGACGAGGGTCCACTGACCCCAGCCCTGAGACACAGCCTCCAAGCCCCGGGATCCACAGAGGCCCTTTTTGCAGTCCTAGGAGAGCCTGAGCTGCAGGGGCCCTCTGAAATTGAGCCCAACAACTGCCCCCTAGAAAGTATGAAGCTCGGGCCGCAGAACCTTGAATCTGCCTCTTCCACCACCCAAGAGGCCGTTGTTGAATCATGATGATGAGGTAATGGTCAACACTGACCCCCTATCCGGGCACCGAGCCTGCTCAAGAGTCCCTACAGCCCTAGGAGGGGCACTACCATCATCCTTCTCATTTTACAGATGAGGAGACTGAGGCCCAGAGAGGGTCAGCAATGTGTCCAGGGTCACAGTCACTACACCCAGGCTGGATTAAGATGCAGGCTCTTAGCCTCTACCAGGTCATGACAGCTTCTGTGGGCAAGGGCCAGCCATGCCCTCCTCGGAACCCTACTGTAGACACACCAGGCACAAGTCATCATTTGTGGCACAGCAGAGTACCACAGCACCATTGCCACACCAGACCTGGCAGCATCAAGATGGCCGAGACCCACCCCCACCTTGCAGAGCTCACAGCCAAGGGCTGGGGACCTCTCGGTGGGCTCTGAGTAAGCCACCAGGCTTCTGTGCATGTCCACTTCCTCACGAGTGAGAGGGGCCCAGTCATACCCATGCCAGTTCGAGTGAGAGGCTGGATGAGAAGGGCCTGCCCACGGCCAAGTCTGTGCCTGACAAGGGGCAATACAGGCAACAAGTGCAGTTCTCCCATGAGTCAATCAGGTGGGAGAGCAGGGGTTGGTCCTGCCCGCAGGGCCCTTGGGAGGGCAGTGGAGAGTGGGGGCTGGGACCACTGACCCTCGGTCTAGGCAACTCCCACAACACAGCCAAGTCCCTGCAGGCTATCCTGGGCCCCAAGGCACTGGAGGCAGGTGTCAGTCTCCCGCAGAGCTGCCCAGGGAATGACCTGGGCTCTCTGGAGGGACAGAGCTCCCTGTCCCTTGGGGTGTACGACAGGCAGGGCTGAGGGCCCACCTGGGGACCCACCTGGGAACCTCCTTCGACAAGGGTCCTCTTGCCCTGTCTAAACCCTTTAGACAGCAGATGGAGGCACTGGCCGTCCCTCTGGGCCAGGAAGCTGCACTCCGCTGCAGACCACTGTGCAAGGGAGCTCCAGATTCACAGCTGCCCCCCGGCCAGGCACCCACCCATGTTGATGGCTCAGCCTCACTCCACGGCCAGCTTCCCTGCCTTTAGAGAAGAGCAGAGGGTGAGGGCGCTGGTGGTGACTCCTTCACTCACTCACGCATGCACACCTTCTGTAAGTGCTGCTGTGAGCTGGCACTGGGGAAGGGATGAGCTACCAGGTGGGGTCTGGGAGGAGCGGCTCCCTCCAAGCATGCTCAGTCAGTCTAGGAAGCCAGTACCCGACTGGCTGGCATGTGAGATACCCAGCGGGTGAGCCCCTTTGCAATTTTGCAAGGGAAATGGAAGAAACGAGAGTTAAGTACTTATCATCTGTCACTCGTGAGCTGACAATTTCACTGTGGCTTTCAAATGGAAAACAGGCAAATTTTTGTTCATGAAAATATAGTACACTGAAGACTGAAGTCTTGTAGAAAATATTTTGAGGGTAGGCAGTAATATTCTACTAAGCCAAAAAGTATACAAATTTGCCAAGGTGAAAGAAAACTGCAGGAGATCAGCAGATACTGTCCAGGGCTGGTTTAGGTTGTCATACACTGACACGGGAAATGTTCCTGTCTCCAAACAGTGAGACAGTCTGTGGCTACTTTCTAAGAAAACCACACGCAGGATGTGAACACCAGTGCCGCTGTCTTCTTTATCGCCACACCCATCATGGGGGCAGTGGAGCAGTCATTACTGAAGTCATGGGGATTCCGCTTTCCATCTCAAATTTGGAACCATAGAGATATCTTATATGCCAGCAAATATGGTAACTGATGGGCAGTCCTGGGGGTAGAAACAACAAATTCTAATGTCTGAGATGGGAGAAAAGGCACTAGGAGAAAGGGTCATCACTGCTGAGCCCTGAGGGATAGCTACGAAGCAGAGGGGGAGAGCATTCCACGACAAAGGAGGTAAGCAGCAGCCTGGGATGTGGAGTTCCCTGCCCAGCCATGCAGCCCCCTCCCCACCTACCATGATGGTTCCTCTGGTCTGAAGGGGCCTCAGCACCTTCCTCTGCACCAGGAAGTTGGGGAGGAAGATGATGGGAGGATTTCTGTGATGGTGGCAACAGCAAAGGACCACTGTGGAAAGAGACACCAGCCACTGGCCTCCGCTGCCCCACACAGGCGGTTTCAAGTGCCCTGGGGTGAATGCCCTGCTCAAGGCACTTCCTTTAGCAAGAGGTACGGCCCCCATACTCTGAGCAGGCACTTCTTTCCACAGAATCAGCCCAGGTTCCTCGGCTCCCAAACCCTTGGCTGCCCTCTTGTGCCCAGATCTGCAAGGAGCTGGAGAGGACTCCCAGTCAGTGGTGCAGCCTCAGGCCGGTTCTGGGAGAACAGGGCCAGCCCATCCACTGCACAGAAGGGGACACTGAAGTCCTGGGCGAGAGGATCTCTCCGAGGCCACACAACAAGCCACGGACAGCCAGGATGGAAAGCCCTGCCTCCCTCCTGCTCAGCACCACATGCCCTTTTCATTCACTCAGAACGAGACCTCCCTGCAAGAGGGGTGTCTTGGCCTCCTCTCTGGCTGCTGAGGCAGGGCCTAGCGCACCTGAGGGCATCGGCACCAAGACCAGGACAGAGTGTGCCCTGTGCCCTCCAAGTCTCTTGGACATGCATCTGTGGTGCTGGCTGCCTGCCACACCCAAATCCTGAACCACCCTTCATGGCTGAGATGCATCTGGGCCACTCTCCATGGAGGGGCTGGGCGCAGGATACCCAGAGAAGTCACTTTGTGGGTTACTCCCAGGTGTCTGCTAGGTACCCCATGGAGGGTGCTGGGGGTCCTGTCCTCACGCCAGGATACTTGCAGCTCTGCTAGGGGTCCTGTCCTCACGCCAGGATACTCACAGCCTAGCTGGAAAACAGGTCAACAGAAGTTTATGTGCAGTAAGACAAGTGCTGTGATAAAGAACTGGATTGGGGCATGGGGTCAGACAGGCTCCCTGGAGGAGGTGACATCTGCCAGAGGTGAAGAGTGAGCAGGGGTTATAGAGATGCAGGGGTCAAGGTGAAAAGGTGACCACTAGCAGAGAAGTGAGTTCACAATCCAGAGAAGGTGGCTGCAGCTGGGAAGGGGTGGGGCGAGCTTATCACACAGGGCCTGGCTGGCGAGCACAGGCTCACATGTTGTTCTCAGAGCAGTAGGGAGCCATGGATAACGCTGTCCCGAGCTTCTGTAGCTGCAGCAAGGAAAACCAATTAGGGGAACAGGAACAGAAGCAGCAGCTCCAGGAAGGAAGCAGAGATAATGAGGGTCTGGGGAAGGTGAGAGAAGACGTGTTAATGGACAGCATTGGGGACAAGGGAAGGGAGGGTCCAGGAGCGGGTCCAGGTGTCAGGCCTGGGGCCTGAGGGTGACGGCACCACCCAGGGACCAGACCCCGAGCAGGATGACAGGGGGCACTGGAACTGCTCTGAGTCGGCCAGGCAGGTCCCTGGGGCAGCCAGACGAGAAAGGTCAGAAGAAGGGCAGGACTGGAGAGAACAAAACAGGGCAGGGTGGGGAGGGAGACAAGGGTTAAGTCCTGAAGCAGAGCCCACTGGCCAGGGACAGGAGAGGGGCTGGAAGGCCAAAGGGCAGCATCAGGATGCCACGCAAAGAGGGTTCTGAAGGAGCGGGTGAGGGCGGCAGAGGCTGCCAAGATGCCCTGGGAACGAGACGGGAAGTGCGGCCACTTCATCCACCCGCAGGGGAGAGGCGCCTGAGGATGGGAGACCTGAGTGCATCCAACATGGGAAGAGCCAGCTGGAGGGAGGAGAGGCCGAGGACGGCGGGACAGCAGGAAGGGGACAGGCCTCAAAGGGCCAGTGGGGGCTTCAGCAGGGCTGGACACACCCACGTAAGACCAGAGGGCCCCTGTGGCTTAGGCCCCGGGACCCCAGGGGGACACTGCGTCGGAGTCCTGGGTGAGTATGAATGCCCGTGTGGCCCTTCACAGGCCAGCAAGGACAGTTGAAGCCTGGGAGGCTTGTGTCACTCCCCTGGAGGAGCCAGCGAGCAGGGCCCCATGGGACCCAGACACCTGCAGTCTGAGGGAGAGGGGCCCATGGGCCTTCTGCAGCCCAGACCCTCTGGCTGTAACACAGAAGCATTGCTGGGCCTGGAAGGGGCGAGTGTAAGAGCTGGGACCAGTTTGGCTGGACACCTGAGGACACACCCATGAGTGTATGAGAGTGTGTGTGTGTGTGTGTGTGTGTGCTCATGTGTATGTGCCCATGTGTATGTGCATACACAGATGATAGGGGTCAGACGCAAAAAGGGAAGGCCCCTGCCCAAGGTCATCAGTTCCTCCTGTTCACACCAGCCCCACCGCCCAGCCTTGCATGTGAGGGCACGGAAGCATGGTTTTCTACGAGTAAATGAATAAGCAAACAAATGAGCTCAGAAGGAACACCTTGAGTCCCTACCTCCCTCCCTCCACTGGCAAGTCAGCCGAGGACAGAGACTACACTATAACGAAGCCATGTCCCAGCCTTCTGAGAGATCCCATGCACAGAACAACAGGAAAGGCATCTCCCTAAGGGTGTTCCATGGCCACGGGTCCATCACAGCACTCCCTGGAGAAGGGTTCAATGGGCCAAGGGGTTTGGGTTAGGTAAGCATTGCTGTGTCACCTGCCCCTTGGGTTCCCCACACACCCTGCATCTGAAAGCCCCTGAGACTCCATAGCTGGTCATCAATCCCCTTTACCCTTACTCAGTCAGTGCTCCTGAAGCCTCTGACCACAAGCCTCTGCCTACCCCCCTGCATTTTACACAACACATGCTAGTCTTCCACAAGTCTGCTGTGGCTGGGGACACATTTGGGAACTCTGAAGCCAGACTGAATGTGACCCAGTCCAGAGGCCAGGTACTGTCCCCCGGAGCGTGTATGACACCCGCCCTCACAGAAGGCATGCGTGTCTGCAGCACCAGCGCTCTGCAGAGATGAGCCCTAAGACAGCAGCAGGCTTTGGGCAGTAAGAGGACGCTGGACCTGGGCGTCCCCAAGTCCTGTGGTGG